ACACGTGGGCGTTTTGTCATTTTGACAACTAGTGGCCGTTTTGCCACTTTGTCCACTAGTGGCCGTTTTGCCATTTTGCCTACTAGTGGCCGTTTTGCCACTTTGTCGACAAGTGGCCGTTTTGCCGCTTTTTCCACAAGTGGCCGTTTTGCCATTTTTTCCACAAGTGGCTGTTTTGCCATTTTGTCCACTAGAGACCGTTTTGCCATTTTGTCCACTAGTGGCCGTTTTGCCATTTTGTCCGCTAGTGGCAGTTTTCCCTTTTTTTCCACTAGTGGCAGTTTTGCCGTGATGTCCACAAGTGGCAGTTTTGCCATTTTGTCCCCTAGCGGCCGTTTTCCCATTTTGTCCACTAGTGGACTATTTCTCATTTTGTCCACTAGTGGCCGTTTTGCCATTTTTTCCACTAGTGGCCGTTTGTCCGTTTTTCCGTTTTCCCATTTTTGTCCACTAGTGGCAGTTTTGCCATTTTGTCTACTAGTAACAGTTTTGCCCTTTTGTCCACTAGTGGCAGTTTTGCCGTGATGTCCACAAGTGGCAGTTTTGCCATTTTGTCTACTAATGGCCGTTTTCCCATTTTATCCACTAGTGGTCGCTTGCCCGTTTTGTCCACTGGTAGCAGTTTTTCCATTTCGTCTACTACTGGCTGTTTTGCCATTTTGTCCACTAGTGGCAGTTTTGCCTTTTTTTCCACAAGTGGCAGTTTTGCCATTTTATCCCCTAGTGGCAGTTTTGCCGTTTTGCCCACTAGTGGCCGTTTTCCCATTTTGTCCACTAGTGGCCGTTTTCCCATTTTGCCCACTAGTGGCCGTTTTCCCATTTTGTCCACTAGTGGCCGTTTTGCCTTTTTTTGCACTATTGGCCGTTTGTCCATTTTTCCGTTTTGCCATTTTGTCCGGTAGTGGCAGTGTGGCCATTTTCTTTACTACTAACAGTTTTGCCATTTTGTCCATTAGTGGCCGTTTTCTCATTTTGTCCACTAGTGGCCGATTTGCTATTTTGTTCTGTAGTGGCCGTTTAGCCATTTCGTCCTGTCGTGGTCGTTTTGCCCTTTTGTCCACTAGTGGCAGTTTTGCCGTTTTGTCCTCTAGTGGCAGTTCTGCCATTTTGTCCACTAGTGACTGTTTTGCCATTTAATTGACTAGTGGCATTTTAGCCATTTTCTCCACTGGTGGCAGTTTTGCTATTTTGTCCACTAGTAGCCGTTTTGCCATTTTGTACACCTGAGGCTGTTTTGGCATTTTGTCCATTAGTGGCCATTTTCCCAATTTCTCCACTGATGGTCGTTTTGTCATTTTGTCCACGTGAGCCTGTTTTGCCATTTTTTCCACTAGTGGCCGTTTTGCCATTTTTCCACTAGTGGCCGTTTTGCCATTTTGTCCGCTAGTGGCGCTTTTTCCATTTTGTACAATAGTGGCCTTTTTGCCATTTTGTCCACTAGTTGCCGTTTTGCCATTTTTTTCCACCAGTGGCCGTTTTCCTCTTGTTTTTTACTAGTGGACGTTTTCTATTTTGTCCACCAGTGGCTATTTTGCCATTTTGTCCACTAGTGGCCGTTTTGCCCTTTTGTCCACTAGTGGCAGTTTTGCCGTTTTGTCCTCTAGTGGCAGTTCTGCCATTTTGTCCACTAGTGACATTGTATTCACTAGTGGCAGTTTTGCCATTTTGTCCACTAGTGGCAATTTTGCTATTTTGTCCACTAGTAGCCGTTTTGCCATTTTTTCGAGTAGTGGCCGTTTTCCCATTTTGTCCAGTTGTGGCCGTCTTGCCATTTTGTCCATTAGTGGCTGTTTTGCCATTTTGGCCACTCGTCGCCATTTTCCCATTTTGTCCAGTAGTGTCTTTTCTGTCATTTTGACCACTAGCGGCGGTTTTGCAATTTTGTCCACTAGTTGCCGTTTTCCCATTTTATTTACTAGTGGGCGTTTTGCCATTTTGGCGACTAGGAACCAGCATTCCCCCTTCCATTAGTATCTTACAATTAACTATTAAAATTTATGAGAATAAGGGAAAGGATTACCAACTAAAGAAGATCTTGATTATTGAACAAATCCTCTTGGTCACCACCTGAGGAAATGTATAGAGGACAGTATGGAGAATATCCATACTGATGTTAGGGTGCAAAAGGTTAACCATTTGGTAAGTTTTTTTCTATTTGTCGAACTCACGTATGGTTTTCGCCATTTTCTCGGTTTTCCTTTGAAGAGAAAAGAGAAATCTGTTTGAGGTTGTAAATGACATTATTGAATTTCAGCAAAACAGAGAAACATCAGGAAAGATTGCAACTGAAAATAAACAGAAAAGATACAGACGGAGGGGGCGGGGGTGGGGGGAAGGAACTGAAAAGTCACGAACAAAAGGAATCAATAAATGATAAACGTGAAATTGTTTATTTCTAGCCTCTAAAGGTCACAAAGTTGTTACAAATAAAAGCGTAGAAACTGCTAATACATTCTTGATGTTTTTTTTTTTTTTTTTACCAGATACTGTGATCTAAGTCAATTAATCAAAGTCGCACTGTGACCATCATTTAATTTAACAGGGGTCTTTCTCGATGATCGCGGCGAAGCTTATGGTTGCATTACTACGGTTATTAGTACCCGCTGTAACTCAATTTGACAAAGAATTCGTATCAACCAAAACCGCAAACCCATATGTCCTGATCAAATTGCCGCAGGATGTGTTATCGCGGGCACATTGCATGTCTTCCGCCATCCACAGGCAGGGTAGCACCAGTTATGAAAGAAGCGTCACTTGAAGCCAGAAAAGCGATCACACTCGCCACTTCTTCCGCATTTCCAGGACGCCCCAAGGCATGAGTTTCTTTTGAACGTTCTAAAAACTGCAAAAGGAAAAACAGAATAGATTAGAAGTGAATCAAAGGCAAAAGTACTGTAAACTTTTTAGTTATTAGCGTGATCGAACTTTTTTTGTGGTGTTCACATTTAGGGCGGAACTGCCATAGCCTTTTTCAGGCGTTCAGTAAGTGAACGGGGGGAGGGAGGGGGGGCAGCAACGGTGGCAGAGAGCGATAAAGGGATAAAGGTTTGCGACAAGTTGTTTGATTGTAGCGCACGCGCGCGCATGTAAGCCACGCCCGTGTGTTGCACGTTTCTGATTTGCCAGCCATCGATAGGACTCCCGTTTGGGGTGTAGGGAAAACTGATATCACAAGTACGAAAACAAAAGAGCTGGAATTGGAAGAAGAATAAGCAACAGTAACAAGCGGTCTTTAGCTAGGTTGAGCTATTTTCGCACCATTTCTTCTAAAGAGGCGACTGGTTTCGAGCATCATAAATAGACTACGATTTTAATTCATCTATAAAAATTCTGCGGTCACTTAATACTTGAAAAACAAATATTATTTTTGCTGTTTTCTTTTTTTCTTGTTTGATTCTATTTAATTGCGCGATTCATGACAATTCCATTACCTGACTCCTGAATTCGGTGTTAAATCGTACTTGAAAACCGTTATCGTTTTTCGCGTACAATTCAGTTCAGGCGGAATTTCCTTGTCAGGTAATGAATTTTCCTAAAGTATTTCCAAATGGTGAAACAGTGGTAAAGAAAGGGATAAAACACGCCCGCCCGTATAACTCAACACTTGACGTACTTTTTGATAAGCTTCTTCAGTAAGCCCTCCTCGTTTCTGCAATTCAGTGATCGTAACGCCTGGGCTGTCGGAAAGAAAATGAAAAAAAAAAAATTGAACATCTTTATGAAGTGGCTACAGGTTTGAATTCATTCCCGTTTTCTTTTTCTTTTTTTACTAGGAACTTTTGTCGCTTTGCCTCCTTCCACAAGAATCTTGGTCCAACTGATGTTTATTAAGAGAAGGCAATCGACGTAAGGAGGACAAATGTAAAACAGTTTCTGAAGTAACTGTTGAGCTCAGTCAACGGGCAAGTGAAGTAATTGGTTAGTAGTCAACTATCAGTTTATAAAAGTAAAAAAAACCGTCACTGGCTTTTCATAATTCTCTACAGCAGTTCACCTAACTTCATAGACTTACAGTTGATAAACAACTGATTGAAGTAAATCTTCACCTTTTACCTGGTTTCTTTTATGTAGTTTGTTTGGGTGGTCTTCACCATAATGTGACGGATTAAACTCAGACGTTTTCAGACTTCCAACATGTATCACCTAAAATTGTTTTGTTTAATAGTATTACTTACTTGACTGAGTTACAGCGGATCTTCTTTGGCGCAAGTTCTAATTAAATCAAACACAAGTAAGGGAAATAGCTGACAGGCAACAGTGACAAGACAGTAGCTATTGCAAGACACTTGTCTTAGTTTTTCTCTGAGCAGTGTCCACCATCAATAATGAAACCCCTTCTTGGGTGTTTCAAAGAACATTCTTCCATGAAGAAATTCTCAAAAGTTAAGAAACCTTTTGAGCAAGTTGAAAAAATTACACAATTATACCAATTCATGTATAAACCTCACATAAAACAGAGTGACTAATCAGCAGTAAAAACTGTAATATCAGTAAAAATGAAATCTGTTAAAACTGAAGCTCAAATATATTTTCACATTGCCAGCTGTTTAATTCGGGTGTTTACATCTACTTTAACAGAGTTACCTGCACTAAATACAGATTTATTCCACAGTAAAAATGGAGGAGGTTGGAGGGGGGTAGGG